GTTCCACTGTGGCTGGGAGGGAGCCACGTCCGACACGTTCTCTCCCACGCTGATGGTGTTGTCGGACACGTGTCCCTCGATGTTCCACTGTGGCAGAGTGGGAGCCATGTCTGACACATTCTCTCCCATGCTGACGCGCTCCTCCCCACAGCCTAAGCTGGGGGAGGAGAGAGATGGCCCCACTTCTACAGGCAGCTGTGGCCCACAATCCAGAGCAGCGTTCCGTGCTCCCAGGCTGAGCGCTGACTGGGACGTGTGGCCAAGGAGGCTCTGTTGGGGCCTGGGTGTGTTGGACTCAGTTTCTGGTGAGAGGGCCCCCAACATCACGTGGGGCGGAGGGATGGGTCCATGGGTGTTCCACCGTGGCCGAGTGGGAGGTACGTCCGACACACATACCCCCAAGCTGATGCTGGCGTCTGACACGTGCCCATGGGTGTTCCACCGTGGCCGGGTAGGAGCCACGTCTGACACGTTCTCCCCAACCCTGATGCTGGCATCAGACACATGCCCATGGATGTTCAAACGTGGCCGGGTGGGAGCCACGTCTGACACGTTCTCCCCAACCCTGATGCTGGCATCAGACACGTGCCCATGGATGTTCCACCGTGGCCGGGTGGGAGCCACGTCAGACACGTTTTCCCCAACCCTGATACTGGCATCAGACACGTGCCCATGGATGTTCCACCGTGGCCGGGTGGGAGCCGCATCTGACGTTTCCTCCCTGACCCTGATGCTGGCATCGGACATGTGCCCATGGGTGTTCCACCGTGGCTGAGTGGGAGCTATTCCAGAATTGTAGCCCCCTGTGGGAACACCACCCCCTGACACATGCCCAAAAAGCTGCTCTGTGTGCTGACTGCTCCCCTCCTCCAGGGCGGCACACCTGGGTGGGTGTGAGGGAGGCAGAAAGCTGCACTCTGCAGCCTGGAGGGGCCCTGGTGAAGGTGAGGCGGCCACAGCCGGCCTCAGGACAGTACTAAAGTCGTACTCCTGTGGCTTGGAGGGCTGAGTGCTGGCCGATGAAGGTGCCTCCCCAGGAGCTGAAGCGGGCAGGTCTGAGCTGATGGTCTGCAGCGCTGCCTCCAGGAGAGGGACCGTGCCAGTCTGCAAAGACTGCTCAGCCCCTGGGCCCACAGGTAGGAAGTCTCCAAGGCTGAGGCCGTCAGAGAAGGACCCAGGCTCCTCTGCCTGCTGCAGCCCTGGACCACCAGCTCCCACTGCTAGAGGCTTAAGGGGCTGTGGGGTCCGCAGGTCTGGCCTGTTCGGGCAATCCCAGGAAGCCGAATGTTGCTCTGCAGTCCTAGAATCACAGCCTTGGCCTCCATCTGGGTGCTCAGGGCCAGATGTGACCTGAAACACACATGACATTGGACCCAGTCTGGTCTCAGGCTCCCTGAGCCCTCAAACTCTGTCCCCCAAGTTCAGCTCTGCAGCCATGACCGACACTCACCAGGTGCCAAGGGCTATGGCAAACAGTCAGGCCCAGCACCCCCAGCTCAGAGTTAGGGCACCCTGGGTTCTGCTCTGCCACTCACCTGGGAGTGTGGGCTCAAGAGAAAGTCTGCCGGCTCCTGGGGCTGGTGAGCCTCAGTCATCGCTTTCAGCATCTCCTGAAATTTAAGCCAGAGGGATGACCAGCAGAGCTGGAGAAAAGCACGGCCCCTACGCCCACAGCAGCCATGTACACTGAACCAGACAAGGCTTGTGCTGGGCTCCACTGGGACCCCAGCACTCCAAAACCACGAGCTCCTCACCACCTCTATCTGCAATTCAGTGGCACTGCTACAAACATGAGAACCACCAGCCCACTCCCATAAGAGCACGCAGGTCTGTGTGCAGTTCCAGGGGGTTACCAGACCCCCAAAGCCCAGGGGAAGAGCTGCCACCTAAAGCTGCTGAGATACCCGAATGCGTTTCTCATCTTCTAAGAGAAAGCGAAGCCGTGCACTCTCCAGTCGGTGCCTCTGGATTCTCCACAGCGCCTTCTGCTCCCGACGAGCTGCCTCTGCAGAGAGCCTGCTGTAGTGGTCGACCAGCGCCTGCCTGAAGCCACACCCAGAGAGGACACAGCCACAAGAGTCACCCCGTCCCATCCACCTGGCGCCCCTCGGGGGAGAATGGTTCTGCACAACAGAGGCCCCAGTGGGCCCCTGCCTCTAATCTCCCCCTGCCAGGGCCGGATAGCTCTGGGCCCTCACAGCACCTGCAGGGCGGCACCAGGCAGGCCCTTCCACCTGCCAGGCTGGGAAACCTTGGCAAGTCGGTGCCCAGCCAGGGCTCAGCAAGGTCTGTTGGATGAAAACCAGAATAAGATCCTGCATGGCCTGAAGCAAGGGGTGAGCAGGATGCTGAGGGCCCCAGGCCCCTAAGAAGCAAGGCCTCTTCTCCTACAGGTGCAGACCTGAGAATTGAAAACTAATGCAAAAAAGTACATGAAGCAAAACCAACACAAACGCTTTATTTGCTGAATTCAAAGCCGGCCTCACCTATCATGCCCCCTGATTTTGAGCTTTTCTCCAGCAGGCAATTTGTGCTGGGCTCCACTGGGACCCTGGCTCAAACCTGAACCGGCCAGCTCTAATTTGCCCACCACAGGCCAGAGACATGGTGTCCAGGCCTGGTTTTCTCCATGTGTTAATGGGACAGCATCTACTCACATACATGCGCAAACACGTACGCATGCAAAAACGCATACGAACATGTGCACACAGGCACACGCACCCCTCCACGAATGTCCCTCACTGGCTCCATAAACGGATCTAAGGTTGAGACAACTGAGCATCGTGTGGGGCTGAGCGGGAAGCAGCCAGACCCTCCTGAGAGGGTCCTTCTCTAAAACCCCAAACAGCCCCTTGAAGGCTCCAGCTCTACTCAAGACTAGCAACAGGCTGATGACAACACGGGAGACAGACTCAAATGCTGTGCTGGACAAACACCATCTCGGCCGGACACGTAATCCCAACACTTTGGGAGGCTGAGGCAGGCAGATCACCTGAGGTCCGGAGTTTGAGACCAGCCTGGCCAACATGGTGAAACCCCATCTCTACTAAAATTAGAAAAATTAGCTGGGCGTGGTGGCGGGCACCTGTAATCCCAGCTGCTTGGGAGGCTGAGGCAGGAGAATCACTTGAACCTGGGAGGTGGAGGTTGCAGTGAGCTGAGATTCCACGCAACATTGCACTCCGGCCTGGGCGACAGAAGAAGACTGTCTCAAAAAAAATAGTGGCCGGGCGCGGTGGCTCAAGCCTATAATCCCAGCACTTTGGGAGGCCGAGGCGGGTGGATCACGAGGTCAAGAGATCGAGACCAT